AATTCCTCCTGGGTGGAATTAGAATACTGAAACAAAGGACAGGATTGGTAGCTGGAAAGTAGAACCTTGGTAATAGAAATGACACTAGAGACAGCATGATTTTTTTTTTCAGTAACATACTTGGTGGCTATGCATGTGTACTTTGTCAGATGGAGTAAACAGGAATCAAATTTGCTAAATCAATGGAAAGAGATAATGAAGAAGTTCATTATCATCAGTCAGAATGAGGCCAGGGGCCAAACTGTAGAAGAAACCATCCATGGCATGAGCGAAAACTCAAGCTGAAGCAAAAAAAAAAAATCTAATAAACAGTCCAGAGAGCCAAAGTGCAATCTTGAGTATATTACATCTTATTTATTTATTTCAGGAAATCCAGACACTTTAATCAGTGAGCTATGAAGTCAGAATTCCCACCCTTATCTGGGGAGGAGTGGGAACAGGGGAGTTTTGGGTGAGGATCCCTGGTGGGAAGGTTCATGGCAGCAGCGTCTGGGCCATTTTCCACAAAGCTGCCCCTATCTCCCCCATTATAGGCCCATATCTCCCCAATCATAATGGCGAGGTAAATTACACATTATTTACGAGAACATATCAAGAATGCCTTTAATACATTGATCACTAAGGGCCCCAAACCAAAGAAGTTGGGAAATGACATCATAGATATCATACATGAAGAAAGCCAAAGGACATTCAAAAGACAGGGGCGATAGAAAAGAAAGAAAGAAAGAACCACTATGGCTGTCAGAAGAGATTCTGAAACTTGCTCTTGAATGTTGAGGAGCCAAGGCAAATGGAAGCAGTGAAGTAAAACAGCTGAACAGACAAGTTCCAAAGGTATTTGGAGAAGACAAAGTAAAGCATTGGAATGTGCGAAGACCTGGAGTCAGAAAACCAAAAGAAAAGAATATGCTTCGTTTTTCCCAAACGGCAAGAACTGAAGGAAAAGAAATCAAGCCTTGAATTGAAATGTTGAAGGATTCTGAGCTTGGACAACCTGGTGAGTTACTAGTTTGTCTACTGTTCTTCAGGGTTGAACTCACTGGTTGATCCACAGGTAAAATACGAGGCTGTCTACTCCTGTCAATGTTTGCAACCTCAGAAACACAAAGGGGCA